CTTTTGTAATTATTTCTGATTAAATCATTAAAGGTTAAAGGATTTGCATATTCTAATAAACAATAAATAATTCCAGAAATGGCTTTCTGCATACATATCACACAGGTTCCATCATCTCACAGAACCCTATACTTTCAAAAATGTTTGCTACTACCATAGTGGTTGATCCCATCACCTCCAGCAGGCTTGGCAGTGAAGGAAGGGGAATCTGCAGGTGAATCATTGGTGTTCATTTTATATACAAGAATGGGAAAGCAAAATCTGGTCATTCTTAGCAAGTGAAGAAGTCTGTAAGTCTATAGATAAAGTTCTGTGAGTTTCATAGAACTTTTGTGTATAATTGCTGTATAAACAGTTGATTTAATGACTGTTATCCTCACCGATCTCACATGTCCTTATCTTTGTAGCAAGTGTGAACTCATCTTTATTTAAGAAGAATATTATGGAATCTGGATTTTTTTTTTCTTAAAGCTTACTTAGAATTTTCAGTGTAATAAATTGTTAAATCTCTTTGTTAGTACTCTGAATATCTGTGTTTCCCTTCGTTACCCCAATTCAGCTTCTGTTTTCAGTATTTCTGACTCCTGGTAATAGTAGGAAGATCCTTTATTGATGAACCTCAAGAGTTTTTTTTTTTAATTTCTCAGAAAAAGGCAAGTTAGGGCAATTTCTTAATATTCTTTCACTATTAACCTTTTTTTACCTTAGAAGTCAGGTGTTTCTGACTATCTTTCAGTCACCCTTGTTGCTCTGTCAATTGGCATTGCATCATCAGGTACACAGCCATTGAACTCTGCTGTGCTCATGCCTTTTACTTTTGATGTTCTTTGTATTTTCAGTGCCATCATCATCAGTGAAAATTTATCACCTCCTGCAAATACCTTTTGTAGGCCTCTGCTCTCCCAGCATACAGCCCATCTTGTTCTAGATTGTTTTCCTTTCCATTGCCAGGACCTTCTGAAAAGCAAGCCTTGCTTTAATAGTGTATATTCCCCAATTGTAAACCTTTCGTGGCTTCCATTGCCTAAAGTTTGTTCAAACTTATGAAGCAGTATATAGTGATTAAAAGCTTGGATTTGGAGTCAGATATATCCCACTTGAGCCAAAGAACTTTGTCCACAATGCTCCTCAAGCTGAAATTTGATGAATAAAGTGGGAATAATTCAGTAATAATGATACCTTCCTCCTTAGATTATTGTGAAGATGTAAAGAGACTCTACTATTAATATTAGCAAATATTTATTCATTTCTTAGTATGTGCTAGGCATAGTTGTGAGTACTTGATGTGATTTAATTTACTAAATCCTCACAATAGTGCTCAAAATAGGTGTTATTTTCCTGATTTTATGGACGAGTAAACAAGCACAGAAAAGCAAAGTAATTTGTCCCTAGTTGGGATGTTATTTAAAAAGTAGCAGGTAACAGAAATGGAAACCCAGAGAGTCCAGCGCCAGAGCTCAAGTGTTCACCATTTTTTGCCAAGCAGTATATTATATGTTTGGAATTTTACCAGGCCTGTGTGAATAGAAGTTGAACCATTTTTTCCAGAGAACCTGTTTAAAGGTTCTCTGCCATCTGGTGTCATCTCATATTTT